GCAGACAACCTCTCGTCAATATGCGTTTTCTGCATTGCATAGCTGCAAAAAACGCACAAAAATCGGGGATATAACATTAATAGGATACACAGAGTACTATTAAGCTTTAGCTACCTTAATCAAGCCCATTTGAGCAAGTTTTTTGATGCGGACTACCAAGGTGTTAGGAATCTATGTCATACGTTAACAGAGTCAGCACTCATTACTAACCACAGTACCCTACAAACGCGCAGTCGACCTGAGCTTAACTGACAGCGTTTAACTATTTCCAGCTGCTGTAGCTTTATCCGGCGAGCCTCCCTCGAAGAAGACCAAAACTGAAACCTTCCTCTTGCACGTTAGTTTACTTTCTATTCTTATAGAATCTAACAATTTGTCTATCCTACATCATTCTCTTCTCTTCTAAATTACCTAGCACGTCCCCAATTACATAGCGAAATGGGGCACTGTACTGATGATTCCCAAACCATTTCGCACCATTTCAATCGTCTGTGTTTACAGTTCAGGGATGAAACACAGACGTCACCCAATGTAAGTACCAGGTAGCTTAAATTAGGTTGTAAAATTTGGCTTCTTAGCAGAATATCAAATAAACATAGTCGACTATTTCGTTTCTCTTTTCTCTTGTCGCTGCACCTTGCCAGCAGCAATGCTACACTTTCCGATACTTATTTTGTTGTTTATGAAATTAGGCCAGATCACCATACTTGAATATAAAGCACTGCTTGTAATCAGTTCTAGAAACCGGTTTTTTAATACATATTTTTTAATTTATGTGCTTTTGTAAATTCCGCCACGGCAGAACTTGAAGCTGATATTGAGGTATGAAGGTCGTATGGATGAGGCCTGATTAAAACCTAACGATTTTCATTATATGTTGGGGAGGAAGGAAGTCGCTAGTTGTTTACTTTGGTTATTTATTATTTTACTTTGAAAAACCCAGGCTGGAACGCACCAGGCGAGCGGTGCGATCATGCGTTTTTGCATCAAACTTGAAGTAATTAGGCTAACTGCATGAACGGTTATTTCTTCACACCTACCGTGTGCGTTCAGTACAATAAATTGTCGTAAATTTAGCATAAAAGGAAATAAACAATTTCTGTTTAGCGGTCGTTCTTATTTAAAAATGACTCATCTGTTCAGTGAGTAATTTTTCCACCAAAAATTTAAGGCCAGTACACGAAAACCACGCGTACTTGGAGACTGAATTTGAAACCTCTAAGTTGTATTTGAACGGGGAAAGTTCTCCTAAAAACTCAGCTTCCCAGCTCTTTTGTTTCCAATTGAGTTAGCCATTTTCCCGCCAAAAAAGTCTCACGGGGCCATACTTGAGAACCACGTATGACTGGGGGCTGAATTTGATAGATTTATGGTGTACTTATGCTGGGAATATTCCTTGAAAATTTCACCCTCGCAGCTTTGCTAGTTCTCGAGTTAGCCACTTTCCTGCCAAAAAATTTCACGGGGCTGTACGCGGAAACCATGCATACCTGGGGGCTGAATTTGAAATCTTTGAGTTACACATGGACGGGGAACATACCTTACTGAATTTGAAATCTTTGAGTTATACATGGACGGGGAACATACCTCAAAATTTCAGCTTTCTATCTTTTCTCGTTTCCGAGTTATCAGTTTTCTCGTCAAAACTTTCACCCCCCTCGCATGCGGGACCCAGACTTGCGTGAGGGTTGTCACCGCGGTCCTGGAGTGACACTTGGCCGGGAAACTACTCGCAAAATCTCGACGCCGCAGAACCTACTAGCAAAATCTTGGTGCCAGAGAACCTACTACCAAAATCTTGGCGCTGGGGAATCAACTAGCAAAATCTTGGCGCTCCATCCGCCAGTGCGCTTACATTTTATTCCAGTGGCAAATTATTGGTACTAGTGCATGCCAGGGAGTCAGTCCCGTCACCAACTTGCTTGTGGGCAACTCCCGGAACAGGCACCCATCGACAGCATTGTCGACAGATGGTTGATTGTTAGATTTTGCTACCACTCGGGCTACTTTCCGAACTCCTCCACCTTTCACAGAGCATAAATACGGATCGAATTTTGATTTCGACCTTAAAGCAGCGGAAAAAGGGGAAGGAGCAGAGCTACCCCCTGTGAATTAGTCGTAACTGTAAAATCGAAGGTCGCAGCACCATTCTCGATGATTATCCAATTACTTTCATCGCGCATTGGGAACCAATAATTGCACTGTGTAAGTAATTGTTTAAATGCAGCACTGACAAAAATGTCAGTGTCATCAGTGTGGGTATTCCATGTTAGTGATGTTACTTGGATGCTTTCACGTTTCCGGGTGTTACTCTGCCCGGTCGTTCGATCCTGTGCTGCTTCACCTCCAGTTAGCACCCACTGCCTCTTCGCCATTTCTTCGGAAGCTCACAGAGCGGTGATTTACCTCGTCGCAGCCACCGAACTGGCAGGACTGTTCCGACTCGTAGACGGATGCTTGCGGGCCAGAACAACTGGAAAAGTTACCAGACGCATAGCACATCCTTGTGATGGCAGAGAATTCGAAGATGGGAAATTGTATTGTCCTTGAGGAGATAATCAGAGACCGATGCGATTTGCGTGATCGGCTAGTTGTTTATTTTTTGGTACCTCGGGCGGTCGGCTGCTTTCGCGTGTGGCGGG